GAAAAAAAAAAAGAAGACGAAGATGAAAACAAAGGTGAAGGTGAAGATGATAAATAAGGCAACGAAGACAGAAGAAGAATAAGAAAACTACAAAGAAGATGAATACAAAGAAGAAGAGAAAGACTACAAATAAAGAAAAAAGAAGAAGAAGAAGAATAAAAATAAGGCAAAGGAAAAAAAAAAGAAGAAAACAAGACTACAACAAATAAGAAGGATAAAAAAAAAAGACTACAAAGAAAAGAGAAGAAAAAGAAGCCGAAGATGATGAAGAAGAAGCCGAAGACAAAGAAAAAGAAGAGTAAAAAGAAGAACAAACAGATTGCAAATAAGAAGAGGATTAAAAAAACTACAAAGAAGAGGAAGTAGAAGACTATAAAGAAGAGGAGGAACACTACAAAGAGGAATACTATAAAAAAGAAGAAGAAACACTACAAAGAGAAATAACAAGACGACGGCAAAGAAGAAGACAATTACAAAGAAGAGGACAAAACAAAGAAAAAAAGACAAATACAAAGAAGGAGAACAAGACGAAGAAAAGAAGACTACAAAGAATAAGATTATAAAGAGGAAGATAATAAAGAAGAAGAAGAAAACGACGACGCCAACAACTACAACGAAGTAGAAAAACAAGACGAATACAAAGAAGAAGAGAAAGACTACAAATAAAGAAAAAGAAGAAGACTACAAAGAAAAGAGAAGAAAAAAAGTCAAAGATGATGAAGGCGAAGACAAAGAAAAAGAAAAAGAAGAAGAAGAAGAAACAGATTGCAAATAAGAAGAGAATTAAAAAGATTACAAACAAAAAGAAGTAGAAGACTAAAGAAAAAGAAAAGGAAGAACACTACAAATAAGAATACTATAAAGAAGAAAAAAACTAAAGAATAAGAAGACGACGATAACTACAAAAAAAAAGACTACAAAGAAAAGAAGACTATAAAGAAGAAGATTAAAAAGAAGAAGATGATAAAGAAAAAGAAGAAGAAGACAACTATAATAAATAAGAAGAAGAAGATGACTAGAAAGAAGAAGATAGAGACTGCAAATAAGAAAAAAAAGAAGAATAATAGAAAGACTACAAATAAGAAAAAAAATAAAAAAGACCACAAAGAAGAAGAAAAAAAAACTACAAAGAAGAAAAAAGAAAAAAAAGTCGAAGACGAAGATGAAGAAAGAGAAGGTGAAGAAGAAGAAAAAAAAGACTATAAAGAAAAAGACGAAGAACACTACAAAGAGGAATACGATAAAGAAGAAAAAAAAACAATACAAAGAATAAGAAAATGAGGAAAAAGAAGACTCCAAAGAAAAATAACAAGACGAATACAAAAAAGAAGACGACAATTACAAACAAAAAGAACAACATAAAGAAAAAAAACTACAAAGAAGAGAATTATAAAGAGAATGACAATAAAGAAGAAGAAAACTACAACAAAGAAGAAGGACAAGGCTAAAAAGATGAGAAAGAGTACAAATAAGAAAAAGAAGAAGACAAATAAAAAGAAGGCACTGGAAAAGAAAAAGAAGACTACAAAGAAGAAGGATAAAAAAAATAAGAAGGCAAAGGAAAAGAAGAACAAGACTACAAAGAAAGGGAGAAGAAGAAGAAGCTAAATATGAAAACGAAGCCGAAGATAAAGAAAAAGAAGAAACAAATTGCAAAGAACAAGAAGAAGACGACTACAAATAAGAGGAAGTAGAAGACTAAAGAAGAAGGAAAAAAACATATCAAAGTGGAATACTATAAAGAAGAATAAGAAAAACACTTCTAATATAAAAAGGAAGAAGATAACTACAGCAAAGAAAAAAAAAGACTACAAAGAAAAATAACAAGATGACTACAAAGAAGATAAAGGATAATTACAAAGAAGAAGAACAAAACAAAGAATAGAAGACTAAAAAGAAGAAAATTATAAAAATGAAGATGATTATAAAAAGGAAGGCAAAGGAAAAGAAAAAAAAAAGACTACAAGGCATTTCCACTGATAGACGTACAGTTTGTTGCAATGTTTGTGCAAGATGTTATAAAACTGATCGGCCACCAGCAAAATTGTCCAACAGATCATATTACTTCAAATACCCCATACAATTCAAATGATATACAAAAGAGAAAGTGGTTAGCATTCCCTCGTCCATATATATGAAATTCAACACTTAAAATTACACCACAAATGTATACCTCCTTTTAGGCATCAAAGTCACAAGGAGAAAATTGACAAGATGAGGGCAAAGAGCTTTCGCATCCCTAGCAAGTATTGCAGCCCGTACTCTTGAAAAAACACAACTTATCTTTTTCACAATGACATAAAAGACTTGGACCATGCATAAAGAATCTGAATGGAATGGATGTTACTCTGCACAAGGAGTAACCATGATCTCGAACAAGGTAATTTGCAGATGAAATTTTAGCAGTTCCAAGTGGCTTTTCTGAATGATAAACAACTACAAGCGTATCCCCTAGTTTAGGAAAATTTGTGATGACCACTGAGACAAGAATGCATTCCTAAAACAAAATATAATCATCGACCCCAGTATTTAATGTTAGTTGAGAAAAACTTCTCCAGGAACTGTTAAATTATCCCACCCATTTTATAAGTACAATTGTGATATTGCTCCTAAATAATTATCGTAATAAACTATAAGCAATTACCTCCAATTTGCATAGGAAAAAAGAAAGAAAGAGAAGATACGTAAATCAAATTTATTGGAAACCTGAATGCTGAGATTACCATGTCCACATAGATAATCGTAATCTTCTGAGACACAAAAAGGAAGCACTACTATTGGAACTTGTGCATTTGAATCCATTAGAGAAGCGGGGAAAACACTTACGATACTGATTTCTCCAAGTACCAATGAAGTGCAACCAACAGTAATGTAAAAACCAAATCCGATTGAGGATGTTCTAGAACAAGGCTGCACTTCAATATTGTTTAATATTATGTAACAATAGAGAACAAGAAGCACATTATTAAGTTATAAGCATGCAACGTAATACATCCATGTCAAGATTTTTTGGAGAAAAAGAAAAAGCCATTGATTCAACTAAAATTGAAGCTTGGTGGAATCACTATGATGAAGGAAGTACACAAAATATAGACAAAATAGTCCCATATTGTTTAATATTATATAACAATAGAGAACAAGAAGCACATTATTAAGCTATAAGCATGCAACGTAATACATCCATCTCAAGATTTTCTGGAGAAAAAGAAAAAGTCATTGATTCAACTAAAATTGAAGCCTAGTGGAATTACTATGATGAAGGAAGTACACAAAATATAGACAAAATAGTCCAATGAATGCAAGTCAACAGACTATATCCATGTAAGCTTTTCCATTATGAAAATAATTCAAAGCCAAATAAAATTAACCCGAACTAACACTTAGGCAAGACTAATTAGCACTGATAGTATCTTTCTAAACTAGTTTCGGTCTTACATATGTCAAAGCAAGACCAACGTGTCACGTCCAAACTAATTGTTGAAATTCCGTGTAGGTGTATGGCCTTAAGTACTCTTAACTTTTGATTTATTTGATGTACACGTGAGGCTTTTCATCAAGGTTCACAATGAGTTTGGGATGGAATGGCCACATTGAGAGAGATTGGATAGTTGAAGGCCTAAATTTATATAAAAAAATTTAGGGGCTTACTAGACAGAAATAGAATAATTTAGAGATCATGTAGATAGTTCTCTTACTTGCATGTGTCAGCATAATGTGATAGTCATTTTGGTGGTTGCTTGTAACTCTAAGGGAGTTAATTTGGTTTATAATTAAGAAAAAGGACTAACATGTAGCCACTATCGTGACATTGTTGGATGTTGGGGTGGTTATGAATAGTTTGCTACGTCCATCTAATAAATCAATATTCATTGTAAAATTTTGAAAGTCAATATTTCAAATTCATTTACAAAAAAATGAAAAAATTACCATTTTGATTGGTTAAGTCTTTTTTGTTTTCATAGACTATAAAATACACCCATGCCTAAAAATTACCCTTTTGATCGGTGAAATCATTTTTCACAGTGTTCCTTCTTCGTAGTTTTATTCTTCTATTTTGTAGTATTATTGTTGTTGTTTTTCTTCCTCTTCTTCGTAGTCTTCAGCTTTTTCTTCTTCATGTTTTTATTCTTGTTCAGCTTTTTCTTTTTCATAGCCTTCTTATTCATATTTTTATTCCCGTTCTTTTTTATAGTTGTCTTATTTTTTGTCATTCGTCGCCTTAGTCGTCTTCTTCGTAGTCATTATCTTCTTATTTTTCTTCCTCGGAGTCTTCTTCTCCATTATCTAGTCTTCTTTTTTTAGTGAACTTCTTCATAGTCTACTTTTTCACAATCTAATTCTTCTTCTTTTTCTTCTTCCTAGTGGTGGTGGTGTTGTTCTTCTTCTTCTGCATCGTAGTCTTCTCCTTTCTCCATAGTCTTCCATTTCCTCTTGTCGTTCTTGCTCTTATTCATCTTCTTCATAGTCATCTTCTTATTCTTTTTCTTCTTCATAATCATCGTCTTCTTCGTAATCTTTTTATTTGTATTCTTCTTCTTCTTCATAATCTTGTTTGTAGTCTTTTTTTTTCCTTATTTTTCTTTTTTGTAGCCTTGTTCTTTGTAGACTTCTTCTCTGTCGTTTGTTGTATTCGTTTTCTTCTTCGTAGTAATCATCACTTATTCGTAGTCTTCTTTTACATCTAGTCCTTTTTTTTTGTATTCTTCTACTTCTTCGTCGTCAGCGTCTTCTTCTTTCTAGTCTTCTTATTCTTCTTTGTAGTGTTGCTGCTGCTGTTTTTTTTTCTTCTTCGTAGTCATTTTCTTATTCTTCATAGAGTTTTTCTTATTCCCCATAGTCTTCTTCTTTTTCTTCAACCTTTTTTGTAGTCTTTTTCTTCTCCATCGTTCGTTGTCATAGTCGTCTTCTTTTTCTACTCCATTTTTTTTATATGCTTCTACTTCTTCTTCGTAGTGTTGCTGCTGCTGCTGCTTTTTTTTCCTTCTTTATAGTCATTTTTTTTATTCTTCATAGTCGTCTTCTTTTTCTTCAACCTTTTTTGTAGTCTTTTTTTCTTCTCCATCATTCATTGTCATAGTCGTCTTCTTCATAGTCAGCGTCTTCTTATTTTTCTTGTTCGTAATCATCTTCTCTGTCATTGTTGTTTTCATAGTCTTATTCTTCTTCATAGTCGACTTCTTATTCGTAGTCTTCATATTCTTCTTTGTAGTTTTCTTCGTCATCTTTATCTTCATAGTTTTCTTCGCGGTCATCTTCTCTTCTTCTTCGTAGTGTTGTTGTTCATCTTCTTCTTGTTCTTCAACCTTTTTTGTAGTCTTGTTTTCTCCATCATTCATTGTCATAGTCGTCGTCTTCTTATTTTTCTTGTTCGTAATCATCTTCTTCTCTGTCATCATTGTTTTTATAGTCGTCTTCTTCTTCATAGTCTACTTCTTATTCGTAGTCTTCATATTCTTCTTTGTAGTTTTCTTCTTCTTCTTCGTAGTATTCTTCCTTCTTCTTCGTGGTATTGTTCTTCTTTTCCATAATCGTCTTCTTGTTCTCTTTCTTCTTCACAGTCTTCCTCTTCGTAGTCTTTGTCGTTGTAGTCTTCGTCGTCAAAGTCTTCTTCGTACTCATGCTCTTCTTATTTTTCTTCTTCGTAGTATTTTTTTTTTGTAGTCATCTTCATCTTCATAGTCTTCTTCGGGGTCATCTGTTCTTCTTCTTCGTATTAGTAGTCTTCTTACTCTTTTTCTTCTTCTTCATAGCGTTCACTTTCTTGTTCTAGTTCTTCTTTTTCGTAGTCAGCTTATGGCTCTTTTTCTTGTTTGTAGTCATCTTCTTCATAGTCTTCTCATTCGTATTCTTAAACTTCTTTGTAGTCTTCATTGTTGTAATCTTCTTCCTTCTTGTCATCTTTTTATTTTTCTTCTTCATAGTCTTCGTGTTCTCTATCTACTTTCTTTGTTTTTAAACTTCGTTAACCACAATGAACACTAAACTAATGCAACCTTAAAATTTTCTTCAAGAGAAATCAATTCAAAAACTGAGTGTATTCTTGTAAATCAAAAAAAAAAAAAAGAAAATCAAAACAAAGAAGGTTCAAAGTAAAATCTCAAATAAAGCTTGTCTATAAATGCTGTTGATTAAATAACTAGGCATGTTATTGGTGCGCCATTTGTACTACTTCAAAAAGATGCATCGAACAGTAAATATACTAATTAATAAGCAGGGGAAGCAATATTTACACTCAAAACATGCAAAAACCTTCCATGTGATGAAGTGACCAATACTTCCTTTACATTTCTCAAAAGGCAATAGAGAACAAATAAAAAATAAAAAGACAATGATAAGAAGAATGCATCCCAACTACCATGAACCCTAATCAGCATTTTAGAGATTAAGAGCACAACGTTGTTTAGCGTGGCAGTGCTGCAACGTCTACATTCAATTTCGACCAGCACAACCCGGCACAATTGGATTATAAATTCTTCAATTTCTCTAAAAAAATCACCAGCAAAAAAAAATAATCACAATACCTGTATTAGCACTCTCTTTGGCAAGGTTATCTATTTGACATGGTTCTTTGGTGTTTGCTGAGTCAGAGGCAAGCCAAGAATGGATAGAGTTTCTTTTGTGCCCTTGAATCCAAAGTCAATACACAGTGCTGACTTTTAGAGATTATCAAAGACAACTAGATTGTAATTATGGAACATTAAAGAACTTGTCTAGCAATGGGTTGCAAACACCAATACACCAATATATAACAGCAGTTGACCTACACGTAACTGTAACTCAGAATCATATAACACAAACCTTGCTTGGCTGTATCTGTGCTTTCAAGTTTTGAAACCTGTAAGCCCATTCCCAGGATATCCTTGGCATCTGCATAAAAATACTCACAGGTTCAAAATTGATATAGCACACAACAAACAAAAAGAAATTGATTGGACTTCGCAAAAAATTTCTTACAATGATCTTACACCAAAGCTGTATCAGCTTGACATAGCTAAAATCCCGCTTAATAGCACCCACTGTCAGCCTAGTAAAATATATTAAAAAAACCCACTGCCCAACAGTTACAATCTCTTAAGCAAGCATAAAAAAAGTATCAACTACTGGATGAGTGCCAACCCTTGAATTTAGATGAAGCTTTGTTTATTAAATTCAGAGTCAAGGAAAATCTTATCAGAGGTCAAAAGGATATAATTGTCATTAAACCTAGACCACAATGACCTACATCTATATCACCATAGCACTTGTTGGATCATTGGCATCACTTCTTTTCTCAACACGTCTACCGGCATTCTTTCACAACATTTTAAGTCCCTAGTAGCCCCCTTCACAGAAATTAAATCACTCATCTTTACTTCTTCATTTATGATCTCACAATGTGCATGATCAATCGATCATAGGTGCATTACACTTCTATTATCCTAAATTGGTGCCCCTTCAAGGTTTGAACAAAGAGCACATTAGTTTTCTAATCTTCACAATCTCTAATCCACAATCAGAATAAAAAAAAAAGGAAGAATTAGAAAGAAGTTGTCCTCATTACCTAGAAAAAAGAGGAATGCCAATTAGTAAGAGTAACTGACCAATGTGGTTAAAAATGAAATATAAAGATCAAAACATCTTGAACGTACCATTTTACCAATGTGGTTAAAAAATGAAATTCAAAGATCGAAACTTCTAAAAATGAACCCAATGAAAAATATAAGGCTGTAATATATGTCTATATCTATGAAATTTCTATGATGTGACCCTCACTTTTTGGCAGACTAACTCCCTTAAAATATAAGCTAATATTTTACTAGAGAGCTTCCTCATCTGCTTCAGCTTGCTTTTCACTTTCCCCTGGGTTAGAAATACATGTCATCACTTAAACAGATCATGCACGTAATGAGATATCAACAGTCTCACTTTTTCAACGTGAATCTAAACTAAGATAAGAAGATACCGAGGAACATAATTGAACATCAATGACCCAGCTGAAATTACCATACTGACGTAGAATAAGAAAGGGCAAAAACGGTAGTGCAGAAAATGAACCACACCTCTTTGAGTAATGATGAAACCGGACAAAGCTCATCTTCCTGCATGGCTATTGTCCTCAAGGCAGTCAAGAAATCCTCAGGAAATACTCGACGGTCTGTGCACTTATGGTTGCTTTTGGTTTGTGGTGTGCTGCGTCTGCATGCTGGAAAAAAACCATGATCTAGCAAACTTCTTGGTAAAAGACACCTCAACTCAGCTTTCGGTAAACACCATGCAAGTACATCAACAAAGCAAATGCACATACATTTAAAGAAAAAATATAGACCCATGCATGCATACCTAAGTAAAAGACATGTACCTAAATAGGTATAAATTAAGTCATATGCATGCAATAAAACTTGCATTACTCCACTGGAGCCATTAACTACGCTTTTGGAAGAGTTAATTTTGATAAATAAAAAAAATTACATGAAAATGCATGATAAGAACAGATTAATGGCTGACCTGTGCTTCAAGAATCTGAAATTTGGAGTCAGAAAAAGGAATACTCTGGATAGCCTCTATTGGGTAATGAAGCTGTGGAATTTGTTGAAGTCTGAAAATGTTACAAATCCCAGGTTGTTACAAGTGGATACTAAGTTTTCTAGTAATAAATTATCATGAGATAGTCATCTGGGTTGTTCATGACAAATCCATATAGGTACAGCAGTTCCTGCACCCAATGACAGCAAACGAACGAGAAAAAGAACCAACTCACAGTTCAGCAACACTAACTCACCTATCCTTAAAAAAAGACACAGAAAAAGAACGGACTTAAAAGGAATTGGCTATTAACCATATACAATGATGACAGTTAGAGTTACTAGTACCTTGTCCAATGAAATCACATATCATATTGAGCAGTTCTGAAGACATAGAAACGATAAAAATTAACTAATCCAAAGTTTCATCCGAGAGCTGCAAAGCAGGCTATTACCGGTGCAGAAGCACAGCATGCTCATCGTCAGATGTATAAAGTTCATTTTGCTTAGCAAAGCATTCCCTGAAGAAATCACCCAATCAGCATCTTAATTCACATCCAAAGATTCTGCAAGAAACTGTCCTCCAAAAATAGAGACATAACAGCGGCAGTATTTCCAGGAGGTAGTACTTCCTCTCATTTCATAGAACTCAAGATGAATCTATTTTATTCTGTTGTAGTATGTAAAGTGATAATTCCTATGTGCTCACGTGGTTTACAAAAGATATATATGATAACTAAATTATGTCAATCACAGCCTATAATCTCAGCGATTCAATCAGAACATTTCGATTACATGCTCAGATGCAGGGAAGACATGAAAAAATTTGGTTCCATGTTTTTTTATAATCTCACCTGTCCTATGTGAACCATGGAGTCCGGGGCAAGTTGAGCATTTTGCACAATGTATTCAAACAATAATAACCAGGACAAAATTGCACATTCAATTAAAACCCACGTCGGTCAAGTCAATAAAAATTTACATTGCATGTTTCTTGATTATTAAGGGTCTTGCTTTAGGTCTTCCATGTCACTGACATAGGCTTTCATTTTTAAAATCTAGAGCTTACAAAACAAGAAAATCAATTAGCAACTACAGCAAAGATAATTCTCTAACAGTAAAAAGTCCAATTAATGATGAACATCGACATAATACATTATTTTCACATGAGACACAATGAGAGAAACAACTTCACTGAACTTGACAAATGACCCTCTATATTCGTACATACGTACAATTATCGAGGAATACGATAAACAGCCACACAAGGGTTGTTTAGACTTGCAAATTACAGCATATATAGCAAGTGCACTATTAAACACTTTTCAAACGGCTAAAAACTTCGAGAATTCAACCAAACAAAGAAAAAAAAGCCCTTACTCATCTTTGCAAATAACACTCTAATTTGATATATTTACACAATTTTGGCTGAAATAAATTAAACAGCAGCTGGATTGCTCAACACCGTCAATATGCGTGTATAAGTGTTTGAGTGTGAAAGAAGACGGGAAGAGCGAGGAGGGAAGGAGTACTACAAATTCACACAAGTTATTGAGGTGGAAAGGAGGTAGGTAAAATTATCAAAAAGTCCTACTTCCCCCCTGGAAAAAACATTAAGCCCCTTTTATGTTTCTGTTACATATGAACTTTCACGAATTTTCTAATCCTATGATAATTCCACTTTTTCCCTTGAGAATGTAAGTTACATAAGTACCATTAAAGTCCTAATTTCTTCATACTCACAGATTTGTTTTAATTTCACGGTATACATTTGAGACTCAAATCGGTTCTTTCATTACTAGTAACATTAAAGCACAAACATGTTTTGATATCCACCAGAAGTTCGTTAGAAAGCAGACAAGTTGAATTATAGCCAATTGCACTATTATGCATGTCACCAAAATAAAAGGCCGCACTTTTTCCAAAAAAAATGTAATTTATATAATTTGTCAAGCCCTCTATAAAATAACACCCATTTAGTGGTAGTCCTGCCATCTGCTTCTTTACTTTCACATTAAATTGAAGTTGACTAGGAAAGCATGAGTGAAAGTGTCATTAGTGTTTCTATTAAAAGGGCAAAGCTGTAATAAGTATATGTGAATGGAGTCTAGAATATCTTGGAATAAACTATAGAAAGTAGGACTAGTTGTCTTAATAGAAGTTTGATGGGACTTAATAGTTCTTCAAAGGGAAAAGTAGGATCTAATGGTAACTTCCCAAGAAAACAGCGACAAAGATGCCCTTCCGGTAGTTCTAAGGCATGGTATTGCATGGAGTTCATTTTTTTTTCCAGATAGTTTGGGAGCTCAGCCACCGTCACTTCATTGTAAGGGACATCACACACTCCTACACCATTAGTTTCCCAAAAATTTTCACTCAACTCCAAATAAATTTGTAAGTATTAGCAAAACTAACACTTCACAGGACCCAAAAAAGCACACTACAAAATTACCTCACCTTGCCAAAACAAGCTGATATTCTTTGTACAGAGCGGTGCCAAATAACACAGAACCTGCAAGTGCAAAAGAGAACAGGTGAAAAAGATTAACTTCACAATCTGGTAGATCACTCAGTTACAGATAGGGTAGATGAAATCACGAATAGCCATAAATTTGTTTATTTGAGCATCATTCGTCAATTCTTAAATAGGACTGGAGTAGGATCTACTGTGCTAGAACATGACTGGTTAAGATTACAAATCATTCAACTATGAAATTCTATCAAATCTTTGGTAATTTTTAACAATACTTTTCTATTAGTATTAGAACTCCACCATTTCTGCAACATAGCATAGAAAACCTAACTGATTGATCTAATAGGACATATACAGTTTCACTTCTATACATATATTATATACATGAATACATATTATTGATTGATAACCATATTTTTGTGCCAATGACAATAAAACATGGAAGATAAAGCTAAACAAATATCATAAGCATAAACTTGAATTACATATCAACCTCTAGTAGTGCATGCTAATGATATAACTTTTGTGACTATTATACTTTCGTTCATTTACCACATCAAATATCCTTGTGTCCTTGCCTTCAAATGGCTGCACTTGTGCTGTCAAATTTGCACTCATCTGATTTGATGATTGAAAATTGGACAGAATGGATGAGTCCTAAAATCGAATAACACTAGAACTGAATGGGAATGGCCATCATCATTCTTTCATATGGATTGTATGCAGGAATCAGACTGGAGGTATTACCATTCCATTCCAACATTTGGTTGATTGCGCTGCGTGAAGGACAGAATAAGGGAAGTTGTGGGAGTTGAGTGATGATTGGGGGTGGGAGGTGACAGGAAGTGTTGATGGGTGGCTACTGGCTGTGATGTTTGGTAGTGCCGATGGGTGGTTGCGTGTGGAAAAATGATGAAAAAATGTAAGAAAATGTGTGGCTGAGGTGATAGTTTGGTGGTTATAGAGATGAGCGACTGGGTGGTGGAGATGAGTGGTTTAGGCGGTGATGGTAATGAATGTAGTGGACGGTAGATGTGATAGATAAGTGGTGGGTGGTGGTGATGGACATTAGAAAAGGAATGTTTGCTTTAGAGAGAGAAGGGGAGGGAGGAAATAGGATGGAGATGACAGGTGAGAGGATCGACTGCTGGCAAGGGCGATGTCTCTGTGATTACACCTTCCTGAATTTAAGCATAAATATAGTGAGAATGATACAATATTTTTAACCTTTGCTTTGACATTTCAAGGTAATCTATGAAAACTCCAGAACTAGGTAAAGATCAGAAACCCTTCCTGTCAAAATCTAAGTTGCCAATAGCTCCCTAGCTAGAGGATTGTGCAGAAGCACTAGCAGGCAGACAAAATGTTCCCGACTATGTGAGCACCATATAGATATAGTTGTCATTTACTTGTTTAAATAAGCGTGTCTGGGCATGAACATTAATAATACCCAAGTGTATGCCAATCACTAATTTTAATGGAAGATGTGGAATACCAGTCCGAACTTCACATTCATAAAGCATCATGTTTCTGTGAGAAGATCTACTTCTGTTTAATTCTGATGCATTTGCAAACCTGTAAAATTGGCTAACTCATAGTCAAATATCAAAATTGTTGCAACATATGACTCATTACCTCCACTAAAATGAAATGGCTGCAATATTCCAACATTCAAGAAACTCCAAATCACATAAAAACCAAACAAAATATTTATGCAGGCCTGCAAAAGTTCCAGATTATGTTAGAAGGACATCTCAAAAGTTGCAAAATAAACTACCGCTTTGTATGGGAATTCAAATGATGTCAAAGAATTCTAACCGTGGCAACTGCAACAGTGTAATCCCATGGTGATCATCTTCAGCAAAAAAGTGCCAGCGAATATGCTGCCAATACCACAAATAGGATTTTGGTCATGATAAGGTATGCCCATCATAAGTACGGAAATAACTATGCAAGCAAACTAAAAATATTCGCTAAAAGATAAAAATCACAATTAACGAAAACAGGATCAACACTCTATTATACCTCCATTTCAGGAATGGTGATAGTATCAAAAGAAGACCTCTTCTTTCACAGACTGCAGATGACTCTGTCAGACAAACTCCCATGGCATATTTGACAAACACCGGGCTTGTTTAGCAAGACCCTGAAACCCAACAAGAAAGTACCTTTGAGACACAAAGAAATAAATGTAAAAAAGCAATGGTCAAGCACAAGTAAACATTGATGTCTTTCGTTAGGTAAATTTAGCATGTGAGATAAATCAATGACGAAGAATAACTGGAATAAGGCAGGACACAAAAGACATATACACTAAAACTCAAACCCAATATTTTGGTCGTTTAGCTAGCAGTTTTGTGTTGAGCATCTGCACTCTAGGAAGAAAAAGTTACATTAGTCAATAAGATCATATATAATCCAACAGAACAAAGTGAAAATGAGACCAAAAAAAATTACATAGCTAAGCATTACAAAACCTTCACCCGTAGATGATCTCCAATTTTGGCAGCAGTTTGTCCAATGCTAGAAAAGACAACATTCTTCCAAAGCTCGTAAACAAGCCATCTCCACCATTTTCCAGCTGAAAATTGAGACGGACATGAATCGTGGCTAATAGTACATCGACCATGTATCAAATTTAGAATCGTTAGAAAGATCCACAATATTTTCAGATAAATGTACATACCGACATGATTATCGGCATAAAGTATAAAACTTCACCAAATACAAGGTAGAATCAGTGGGATGAAACTACTCAAAGAGAGTTTTAAATTATTAAAATTGTGGAACCCTGTCAAAATATCAGGCTGTTTAAAAGAAATTGGCTCTTGTGTACAAGCTACAAATTATTTTCGATATATATAGGAAACGATATGACTAGAGGAAGAAGATATATGTGTATGGATATATACATTTATAAGTATTGTGTATACGTACGGATGTATGTATTGAGAAGCAACAGGTAGCACTCCTTACCAACCACAAGTAGTGTCTTGCGGTGCTTAGTCTTCAGTGGCTACCTCTTTATTGAGATTGGTAAGCTTTCCATCAATTTTTGACCAAACATAACAAAGTCATTAAATGAAATGGCCCAACAAATGATCTAAATGGTCAAAGTCATTAGTGTATCAACTTCTGAAACTAAAAGGCTTGATAAAGCGGACTTCCATGCATTTGACAATATTCACAAATAGTTGTAACGGATTTGGTCATAAAAGGCACACTCAGAAACACAAAAGGCACACACATAGACACTTAGATAATATAAAAATATGCACACACACACTATACACACAAAGAAACATTAAAACACATTGTAAAAAGAAAAAATACACACTATAATAAAAACAACCCCCCCCCCCACACACACACACACATTACACCAAAAAGCACATGCACAGAAATATGTTGATAAAAGAAAATGCACACACATTGTGCACATAGAAACACATAAAAACAAATTGATGAAAAATAGACATACGCTAATAAAAACACACGGACACACAAAAACATATTGATAACAAAAAAATACACTCACTGATACATGGTAAAACGCAAGAATAAACACACACGTTGATAGAAGAAAAATACACGACGCACAATAAAACACACATAGACGCATTAATAAATGTAGACTTTGAGTGATCTATCTATGTCCAACCGACATTGACCTGGAGTGATCTACTGGAGCATATATCTTCATTTGGTTGAAATATATGAATGGAATTTTCAATTGATCATTGAAGAGTGTGGGAGAAATCTTATTAGGATGAAAGTGGTGGTGTTTGCATTGGTGTAGTGAGGATTAAGGATGAGTACTTACTTATGTTCCAACCCATTGGACACCCATATCTAACCCACTTTATTAATTTGAGTGGTATTACCCAACCAGATTACAACCGGCAATTAGGTACCTAACCCGCTAATTTGTAAACAGATTGGCTACTTGTAGCCTTGTGGTCTTGCCTCTAGCTCTACCTTAGGGTCAAGTATAACTAAAAAGGATTGTCATATCCTTAAAACCGTAAATAAATTGTCAAAAACATTAAAATAGGCACACACTACAAAAATACACATATAAACATAAAAAGAAACACACTGACACATAAAAATCACACACTAAAACACAAAGAACACACGCATACAACATAAAAAATACACATGGTAATAAACGCACGCTAACACATTACACAAATCAAAAACACATTGAGAAAATAAAGATGCGCAAACATTACAATAAAAACGCACACACCCACACACAATACACATAAAACAAATTGATAAAAGGAACACACACACACTCACAAACCCTAATAAACACACACACAAAAAAAAAAACAACATAAAAATGCACAAAAACTTAGTGATAAAAGAAAAATATGCACACTATTACACAATTAAACACAATCACAAACATAACACACATTGATAAAAGAAGAAGATAGGATACACAATAACTATGCCTTGCCATGTAAAAGACACCTCCATAACTTCTAACAACGCAATAGGGCACAAAAGTATTGAAACAAGCCAAAGATTAATTTCATTTTTCAGTTCAATTAATGTTTTAATAGGATCCCTTTATAAACCAAATGTCAAGAACTATCATACCTTTTTTACAATGCCCTGTGCAGATCATTCCTCTAGTACTTGCACACATAGAAGCTGCAGAAGCTTTTAAGCATCACCTAGCAAGATGGGTCGGCACTATTCTTCTCTTCTTTACTTCCAATCCTTCCTTATTTAGGTCCAGAACCTTCTATTTTGTAACTGCAAAAATGGTATCCATGAAAACCCTGATTGATGTTGATTCAAACCTTGTTGAGAAATAACAAAGGCAAGATAAATAACAGTTCAAGAAAAAAGGTCAAGAAATAAAAAGTTAGAAATGTACCTTTACACCCTTTTTGACATGAAATAGAAGTTTGAGTATCTTGCTTATATCTGGAATTCACAAAAGTAATGAAAGTCTTGTAATGAAGATTTTGAGCAGACCACGCTAAGTAATAAGAAGGGGGTGAAATTCAAATTTTCTTACTTTGTTTCATCAATACCGAACTCATATTATAGGGGATCTTCGCATATGACAATGTCTCTTCTGCATTTTCAGGAGAACAAGGTGCTTTTAGGGCCTCCATTTCTGAAGTTTTATCTTTTGGTTCCTTGGAGGGACTATATTGGCATCCATTGGCTTACCATCTTCTGAGGACAAGTTGTTGCAGCAATTGCTAGCATCATCCTTTAGCTCAAATTTTCCATCATCTGTTGACAAATCTTCTCTCCGTCTTGGTAAACACACTCTTTAGCTGTTATTTTGGGAAACTCCATACCTCCCAACATAAAATGAATCCTGAGATATGCATTCCCCGTTGAAGTCTAGAGATAATTTAGGAAAACTAGTGTTCTTATGAGATTGGTGGAACTCAAGCTTTTCAGGGAAAAAGCTGTTGTTGGGTGAAAATTCAGTAGGACCATCATGCTTGCAGCTCTCACATATGGCATCAACGAGTAATTTGGAGAACGGATATCCATCAAAAGTATCTTCAGTCAAAAATATATAACCTAAAGAAGTACTATTTTGAGCCCCTGAAGTTTGGTAGAAAGTACTGAAACCTCAACTCATCACACTGGAGGCATATCCTTCTTCAAATAACCAATCGTCATCTGGACCTGACTTGTCCAAGGTAGTAGTGGGGAAGTAATATGTTGGTGTTAAACTTGATGGATTAGACAACCTTGTAGACTTCCTAGGCCCACCTGTATGCTCCCCTTGCTTGAGACTACCCCTGTTCCTGCATTATTTTTCTCTGATATTTATACTTTCCCATCACATATATTTCCCGACTTTGCTAGGGGATTCTTGGGTTGCCTCACCCCTCACTGAACTAATAAGAAGACGACATTCTGCGGAATGTTAAAAGATTACAAAATTTGAAAAAGAAAAAAAATGAATAATCATCCGATGCCATCAATATATAACCTGCACTGGATGAGCATGACTCTTTACTGTCAACAATTCACAAAAAATTACAAATCCAAAAATTTAGATGACAAGCAACAAAGGAAAAACTAACTGTCCATGAACAACATTAGCAAGGAATGCAAATCTCAACAAGCGCATACTTTCTCTTGTGTCTTCTCTTACAAAGCGCAACCACGTTGGTTGGTTAATAACATCTCCAACATCAAACGTTCTTCCAATTATAGGATACGTGGGGGGCATCATGTCTGACATCCTTAAGAATAAATTCCATGTTACTCACATTACCCTATGCAAAATTGACATTGCCATAGCCCATCTGTAAATATGGTGGATGATTGTAATATGGAGCTAGCGACTCTACTATACAACAAGAAAAGAGAGAAGAAATCAATCATCAAAAATAAGACCAACAAAAATGAATCACCGCACTTCATCATAATAAAAATTACATCAGATTATGGAGATTTTTTTTGAAGACCAGAGCGAGCACTAGATTAAGTTGTCATGTTACTTACCCTCCATCTAGATGCTCCTTCAATATCCAATCAAAAGCATGAAAAAGTTCCAGCGAGGTGTACAATTGAGCCTAAAAAACAGAAATTCAGAAAGTGATAAAGACACATAATGTCTAAATTCAGGAATAGTAATAAGAGATAAAAGCCACTCACCCTACATCAACAGCAATAGGCCTACCGAGGTGGTCCATCTCAGCTTCGAGTTCATAAATGCTTTGAGATAAGTTGTCATGTTACTTACCGTCCATCTAGATGCTCCTTAAATATCCAATCAAAAGCATGAAAAAGTTCCAGACATAAGGTCTAAATTCAGGAACAGTAATAAGAGATGAAAGCCACTCACCCTACATCAACAGCAAATAGGGCTACTGAGGTGGTCCATCTCAGCTTCGAGTTCATAAAGGCTTTGACGTAATACCTGGTATTCTCGTCTTAATTACATACACCGAGTGCAAATAGTAAAAGCGCACGTCTAGTTTACCTTTTTATGATCAATAAAAACATAATAATTTGAACAAATAAGGTCCCACAAAATTATACCTATGAGAGAAGTTTTTCAAGATACTTTGAACCCATTTCACTAGCTAAGGTCCATATTCAGGACTTGTAGTGAAGCATTTGCATTCTTTCCATGTTGCAGCAATCATATCAGTGTTTTTATTTATATCAGCTTGTGAACGGTTCACAATTCCCACCCAAGGATGTTGCCACCAATATGATCTTCCTTCAAGAACATTCGGTGGGGAAGAAGAATGTCAATCATCTAGACTACTAAATACGAAAATAAAAGGAAACAGAAAAACAAAAAGAGGAAACTCTTCGTCAAGATGTATATTGTCTAATGTCGTATCAACTTAACTGTTGACATAAAAGGAGACAACAGAAAATTAAGGATAAAGGACACATCCAAATGTCCTTTCACGTGGGCAAGCCACATATCTTGTCATAAGGAGAAAACTGGATAATATAAAGAAATTACGTAGAGATTCATAAATTGACTGCAAACAAAACAAACCCGATAGATCCACTTTCCTAGAAAGCTTGATAGCATCTGACAGTGCTATATCTTGATTGGCGGGGGAATTGTTAGTGTAATGCTGTTAGGCTATGGCAAACATAGTTTCATCCATTTCAACGATCCAAAAACTGTACAACAGAAGAAATTTCTATAGAAAATTACAATGCATCAACAAGGATGGTATGTGTAGACAGCAAATGAAATAGAGGAAGTTAATGGTACAAAGGTCAGTATCATATTCGTGGAACAACAAAAAACTTCTCCACCAGTTGTAATAAGCTGCAATAATTCCACTACCTTATGAAAATATAAATATCAATAGTATATTGGAATGCTGGAAATCCCATAGACAAAAAAGGCATAATGAGGAATAAGGAAAAAATGCATCAGATTATGGAGATTTGTCAAATCGTAAGAAGTACCAAGTCATTCAAGAAAAAGGAGCCCACTTGTAATGAAAGTGAAAAATTATCTTGTAAATTGGAAGTGAAATGTTTTCAACTTTGTTGGAACACAACAATTCACAACCTAAACTGACTTGGGAGATATGCAGAATTATGCAATAACTTCCACAGCATCTGAAAATCTAAAGATCAATAGTATATTAGAATGCTGGAAATCCCACAAAGACCAAAAAGGCATAAGAAGGAATAAGGGAAAAATGCATCAGCTTGTGGAGATTTATTAAATCTTAAGAAGTACCAAGTCATTCAACCAAAGGGAGCACCCTTGGAGTGACAAATTTCCAACGTAGGTATTTTTCTGGGTAAGTTAATGTAGGTCTTACAGGCATCCATTTCAAATCTTATTAGCAACGGGTTAAGAGGCCCACAAGGCTCACATACAAGTTTGGGTCGTGCAATTATATGCATATGGGATAAGATATAACATCCCCACAGGCGCAACCACCTGTTGCACACGGAAAGGCAGAAATAAAAACCACAAAACTCACTCAAAGATATAAGAAGGTGCACTTACAGTATGAACAAAGGGAGAACCAAATACCAAATCAATGAAGTTGAGAACGAGTCTTTCCTAAAACCTCCCAAACTCTCCCAAGATAGTGTGTCAAAGGCATCCACTCAAAACCAGTAGGCAATGGGTGGAAAGGCTCACAAGGGTATACTAGTTAGAAAGATGCCATAATGTCAAAGTGAGATAAGCACTAACAATAAGTGTATTGTATTTACGAGAGATGAATTCTAGTACCTTCCAAACATAAGATCGAACAATGGTTTCAATGTCTTGAACAATACTTTCCAGCTGGCCCTCCACAAAGAATAAACCACTTTTTATTAAATGCAGTTCAGCTACACTTACGAGATCTGAAAACATAATAAACTAAATATAGGGGATACCAACAGTCACTTTCGTCAAATCAGGAAAATCTATCAAGAGAAAAAATGAAAAATAGAATTAGTGGAAGAGAGAAAATAAAAAGTTGGCTAGCAGGAATATGATATCATTATACTGATATAGAGCATGAAATTATAGCCTACTTTATGTCATTGAAACCAAAAACCAACATACTAACCATAATTATTCAATGTTTCAGACTTCAATTCTCATAACTGCTCCTCATGCACAAGATAGATCTTATTTGACAAATTTTTTTCTAATTTTTTTAATTGAAATTTGAAATTATGCCTCACAATACAACATGTAGTATACTCACAACTTATCAAAGCCCATAGCCAAAATGGAAAAACCATCAACCATCCATGTCAGATTCATATACAAAAACTAGGATGGAAGCACCACATCCAATGTATAACTCATTAGCTGCAACATTTGCCAAGAGAATCAAGTAAATTTTCTCCCACATAGAAACCAATAAATCAAGCAATAAGCCCATGTCAAAAATCTTTAAGACATGTCACTATGACAAGTTGGAGGAACAACCAAGGAACTTCAAGATTTATATTCCATGGAAAAGCAAGTCAATAACAGTGACTTCAAATAAAAAAACCTAAAATCAGATTTGTCACGCAAGTTCTTCCAAAATTATATTAAAAGAATAACACACTATTGGGGGAATAGTTTCTGAGATGGATAGGAACGAGACAAATCTGCTTTATCTTTCCAGTTATTTTATCAGTTTCATCCATGATTTCTTTGGCGAACCAAGACCTGCAAAAAAATCAAACAGCTTTGTCGACGGGAGAGTCCATATTACAAATTCTTACCGACAAAGAGAGTCCATATTATTAACACATACACACAGATAGAGACATGGAAAAAGTCCTAGAAGAATCTACCAAATAAACTAAAGGAAATACTTCGCACAAGGACAAACCAAAGGAGGTGGAGTACAAAAAAGTTGCAGCAACCATCTACACATATCGCAATAGAACTTCGTTTCTTCTTTTCTAAGTACAACAATTTAGAGTTGCAACTTTCAAGTCTAGGTATGTGTTATTCTCCTTTCATTTCGGACCTGTTGGTGATCTAATCAAACTAATAAGTTCAGAGAAAGAACTAACCATGACTGATTACTGCCCAATACCCTGATGTTGTAGCCAACTACCGAAAAAAATAATCAGGTTGGTCTCAATATTCAATTTCAATCTAATGATATTGCACTCTCCTCATTGCAAGAAGACATAGGGGAACAAAAGTTGT